AGTGTTTTTTTTAATTCAAATGTAAACCCTAATTTATTCTGCTATAATCAAACAGGCTGAGTGACAATAAAGACAAAAAAGTTCAGAACAAAACGGTGTTTCCACTTCAATGTAAACAGTCAGAAAAGAGCAGCGCATCTCTGTCACCCGTGGTTTTCAGTCCGTCAGTTATACGCAACATCTTACTATTAAAGATGGTAAGATCTGACCACAGAACAATTTTTTTTTTCATGTATTTAAAAAGGAAAAAAGCATCCCTCTCAGTCAAATCTTGTTCTAGTAATGAACAGCAGTCCCTTCTGCCATGAATCCAAAGACATTCATCTAGTTGCCAAAATGAAAGAAAAAAAGAACGTTTTTTTGAACCGTGTTAGACATTCACCCACGTGACCCTTGGCCTCTGTAACTCTTCTGCTCCATCCTCTCCCGTTCCATATAGTTTCTCTTATGCCTTGCTTATTTTACCCTATTAGGACAGAAAAAGTAACACCTTTGACTCTAGAAAGCTTAGGTACCAAGGAATGAATTTGTCCTGTTTGCAACTATAAGGATGAGCTATTTCCATAAGTTATATATCCTCAACAAAAATACACCATTACAAATCAGAGTAAAGATTAAGGGAATAAATCCTATATCTGAGTTTTGTTCTCGTTAAATACCACAAACTAGAGAGATTAAAACTGCAGTTAATGGTTTGCTTGGCAGGGCTATGACACATAAATAAAAAATGCTTCTTTACACTCAAATAAAAGGTATTTAAACCACCACAATGGCCAACACAACAGCAAATCTGGTTTTACTTCACATAAATATTAACACCAGTCTCTGCAGTGAGCTTACAAAATATAAGTTGTTACATATTTTGAATCACCAGTTATCTGTTTGTCCTGACATAGTAGAAATATCCAAGTTTTTAAAAACTATTTTATTTAAGACTTACATGGTATTACCGGTGGCTTACCCTCTTCAAATATTACCATCCTAGGGCGAAAACATAAAAATTTTCAACTGAAAGCGCCATTTGCAAAATTTTTGTGTTTAGAGTTTGAGAATGGTTACCATTTTAATTTTGAAAGCAAAACCACAAAAAAAAAAATCAAGGTAGCCCTGCATTCTCTCCCCGTCTCTCTTAAACGAAACAAATAACCTTCTCCTTGCATCTCCAACACTTGAGCATATAGTTCCTCATATGTTTCAACTCTGTTTGCCCTTACTCTCTCAACGGAAGGCAAACCGTGTGGCACTCCAAAGCACGATTGACCATGACCACTCCAGTGTAAGAAGAATGTAAGCAAAACTTTCACACTCAGACCATATTTATCCCATTTCTGTAGATACACTAGCCAATAATTACTTCAGTGGAATTACATTTCCAATTAAATACTACTACAGAATTTAAAATTACTTCGATAAAGTTAAAGCCATGAAGTCAAAGATAAATTTAGAAGAAAAAGGATATATTATACATCTTCCGCTTTTCATTATCCAAAAATATTACTTTCTCTTCCTTTTGTCTCCTCGGGCAAACAGCATTAAATTTTGAAATATTTTACTTTACAGGATTTCAAAGGAAAAGTTAATATGCTCCCAATGGACAAAAGAAGATAGAAATATTAATACTTAAATCTATCATTTGTTTTAACACACACCCTCTGTTCTTTTCTTATCTATCAAAACGCATAAGCAAGTCTAACAAAGTGGTAAGGATTGACTACAAGCAAGATAAGTGTAACTCAAACTGAGAGATTTCTTAAATCCTTACAGTTGTTTTCCATGGGCCTATCCTATATACAGTTTTTCTTCTCCTGA